GCCATCCTACCGACGTTGTACTGCTGTTGCACTGCGGTTTAGTCCACCACTTGCCTCGCCACTTGACCACTTGCCCACTTGCCCATCTTCTAGAACGTCTACAGCTAAGCTTCCAGAACTCACTAAGACTCCTACGCTATAGACCTACAGATCGAACCCCTGCTGTCTATGGACCTACGACAGGTCTACCAACTGCCTACGAATAAACAGGTCACAGGTTCAATTCTCGGGGTCTACACAGATACTGTACATGGGTAGGGTGAGGTCTAGGGATCGAACCCTGGGTACTGCATCGGCTACTGCTAAAAGGTGAAAACCGTTTCAGACTAATTGCCAATCAGGGCTGGTTACTATTGCTACCGTATCTCTTGACTCGTCTTCTTCCTCCCGCCTTCCTAACTCTTCTCCTAATCCTCCATATTTCTCTTCTGTGTGCTGTGTTGATGCTGCTCAAGACAATGTGACAATCTGGAACTACTCTCCTTGCACGGATATGTAAGCAGATGAAAATTGTTCTAGACTAGAGAGAGAGAGAGAGAGAGAGAGAGAGAGAGAGAGAGAGAGAGAGAGAGCAGCATTCTTCTTTCAAATCTCTCCACTGTGCCTCTTCACGTACAAGGCTCGCAACTTTGATGACGTTGAGTGCTATAGAGATGCCCTCATCCCCGTGTGCCATAACAGCCCACTTGCACGCTGTAAGAAAGAGGCAGAGTGAAGTGGGAGGTGTTAGATACAATTGGAAGGACAAGCTCCATTCATAAAGCAGAAGTACGTAGTTTTGTATATATATATCGTCACATAAATATCAGTCTGAGAGTGCAAAAACGAAAAAAAGGAAAGCAAAAAAGATATCAATTCATTTTTTATCTTCTTCCTTACAACTCCCCCTGTTCAGAACCTCTTGCGTACAAGGCCGCCCACGTGGATGTAGGTTGAGCGGCGGCTGCCCCCACCCCCGTGTGTCATATCGATCCACTTGCACACAGCCAAAAGGCAAAGGGGCAAAGAAAAGAGGAAGGGAACAGCCAAATACAACAGAACAGGGGGCAACAAAACAGATCCCAGATGACAAGTCCCACATGCAAGCACCGCCGGAACCCACAGGCCAAACGACGGGACAAGACCAACCAGGATGTCAAAACATTCTTGTCTGCAAAAAAAATCAAAAAAAGCTCCCGTCCACAGTGTGACAACCAAAAAGAAGGAGAAGACAATCCCGGATGACGATTTCCACATACAAGCACCGCCCTGCGCTCAAAAGGCCGAACAACGGGAAACAACCAACCAGGATGCCCAATATACAGAATCGAAGCAGACAAGAGTCACAAAACAAACATTCTACCATATCCATAGCAAAAAAAACGGAACCCTTCAGTAGGCCCGCAAAACACAACACCCCAACAATGGGGAAGATTAAAGAGAAAAATCTGGATGGTGTCATTACCTTTAACGCTCAAAAAAAATATTGTTACAGCCCCTCGTTTATTGTCCTCTTCTCTCTCTCTGCCTACGGTTGTACCGGGCAGTTCTGTTTGTGACGATATATATATATATATATCGTCAAATAGAATATATCGTATATATCGTCATATATATATCGTCACAAACAGATCTATATATTTATAGTATATACATATATACATATATATCCTAACCCTTAAGCAGCATTGGCCGCGGGGGGAGGTCGATGGTCCGCTCCGCGCCAGACTTGGGGGTGAAGTTTTGCTGCGGGCCGGTGGATGGAGGCGATCGAGGGCGGGGGGGCGGGCTGAGAGGCGCGTGTACCAAAATGTTCACATAGCGCCATTAAACGAGTGAGCGCGCCCACGGGGCCGGGCAGCGGCGGACGTAGATGTGAGGGAATAACTTGAAGCCGCTGCTGTCGATAAGCGGCCGGCCTTTTTTTTTTTCTTTGCATTTTCATTTTCGGCCTGTCGTTTCCCAGTTTTTTCGTTTTTGCTTTTCTTTTTTGTTTAATGGTCGGTGCCCACTTTTTTTTTTTCCCCGCTTTGTGTTTTTTCTTTTCTTTTTGTTTCCCGGTGGGCGTATCGTTTTGTCGTTTCTTTTGTTTCCCGACGAGCATGTGGTTTGACCCTGGGTGGGAAAGTGGAAAAAAGAAAAGTTTGAGGGCCCGCCCGCCTGCACTCACTCACTCACTCACTTGCCCGCCTGCACACATACACACACTCACTCGCCCGCCCACCCACTCACTCACTTGCCTGCACTCACTCACCCACACACACACATATATATATATTATGTTAAGTATTTGAAGTTCGTGGTTGCGTTGGGGTTTGAACCCACGCACAGATTTTGAAACACCCAATTGCCACCCGAGCTAACTGTTCAGGTGGACTGGGTCCCTGTTTGTTTTTGGGGACTGTTGTCTTTTGAAGTGCATCCGTCGTCAGGCTGATGGCACGTCAGGATGTGCCTGTGTGTCCGAACCCTAGCATTGCACAGTGTGACCCCTGCCGGCCTGAAATGGACTTTCCTGGCCTTACTGATCGGGTTCTTAAGGGGGGGGGCGACCAGGCAGGCGCAGGCGGATTTGGGCCAAACATTTTCAAGTGCGAACTTTGACGATTTTTCGCGCTCAAACAAATTGGCAACAAAATCTGAAAATTTAATATTCTGTAGATTAGGCCGTGATCTTTCCAGGAAAAATATCAGAAAAATGAAAAAAAAATAAAATTAACGGTGAAGTAAATGCCGCGCTGTTTCGTCACATTTTCCATTTTTACTACTCTACCACGTTTGGGCCAACGGGAAAAGAGACCAAACTTTTGCCATTTTTTGCAATCAGAAGAATGACCCAGCAACTCTGAAAATTTGAG